ACACGCCCTGCACACACGCCCTGCACACACGCCCTGCACACACGCCCACACACCCTGCACACACGCCCACACCCAATCACAAACTCAGGCACTGGCATTTATTACATGAGGTGTTGTTGGTTTCATGTTTTTCCTTCATTAACCACCACACCTGACTATCTGTACAAGTTAACTTCTGATTAATCCCTGGTTTCAAGTCTTGCCATTAACAATTCTTGTGAGTGTTATTTGATAAAACATTCAACTTTTTGAATTCTTTCGTTCCATATATATTTGCTCCTCATTTCCTCAGTCCTTCTGAATTAGACAAAGTGTTGTCACTGGGATGCCAGATTTGTAGATTGTGTCTCCCTTCAGTGGGTGTTTTGAGCTCAATGACAATGGTGCAGGTCTGTCACTGTATAACACTGGGGTACAGTACTGGTGGGGACAGGTCTGTCACTGTATAACACTGGGGTACAGTACTGGTGGGGACAGGTCTGTCACTGTATAGCATTGGGTACAGTACTGCCAAGGACTGATCTGGTACTGTCCAATCTTTATATATGTAACACATGTTATTGGTACTATCATCCTTTCTCTCTTCTCAAGAGCTGTTAAACGTGAAGTGGGAAAAATGAAATCTTTTCAATGACCTATTGGACAGACAAGTTGACAATAAGACCTAGTGACAACACTGTGGTGTTATAATCTTTACTGCATGCTCTGAATTTATTTTCATTCATTAACTGTTTCCACATCATCATCTTTGCTCTTTTCCTGCAAGTTATACCTCTTTCCCATTCCTTTATTTTTTTCCCCTTTCTCTTTTCCTTCCTCAGTTCCGAAGTGGTGATAATGACTTTTCCCTGAGGAGAAGCCATGCTGCCGAGGTAAGCGTCAGATGCACTGGGAGAGTATTGGATGTGGAATCTTGGTGGAAGTGTGCTGGATAGCAGTGGCCAAGAAACTGAAGGGAAGGAAAGATGCTAGAATGCTAGACTGTTCACGACAAGCAAAGTACAGAAACAACTCAGTCTTTCTCTCGATTTGTTCCATTTATCCACCACCTTTCCATATCTTTCCATATCCCGCACCTCATTTATGCATTCCAAATCCCCCAAAGCACCCAGCCTTCACCCTCATTCAGCAATCCCTCCTCCCTCCCCATCCCACAAGTCCACCTCTCCAACTTCTCCCCATATCCAGCAATCCCACCTACCAACTTTCTCCCCATATTTCTTCCTTTCAAATTTGTGAGGGAGTCTCATTGAAAATCTTGAAGGGGTTGCCCCACAGCGGTATCTAGGAGTCTTTGAAATATTTGTGTTGGATTGGAGTAAGAAATGTGGAATATCTGAGGACAGAAGTTGAGGAAGCTCAGAGTCATTGTGCCAAGTAGAGGGCAGAATAATTCAGAACAAGTGCCTGCCCATGTTCCCAATGAAACCATAGCCTTGAGTACTGCCTCCTCTCTCAAACAGGTGGGGTAATGTACAACATCAACTGGTTTCTGATCAAGGAATGCATCTATTCCGCATCCATTTCATGTCCCTAGTTGGATATATTCCTTGGGGATATTCATGACCAGCTCCCTCTAATTACTCAGCATGATCCTCATTGGTCACCTGGTGCATCCAATCATGGCAACATCTTCTCAATCAATTGGCAAAGGGATGTAGTCTTCCTTAATATAAACCAAAAGAACTGCGGATGCTGTAAATCAGGAACAAAAACAAAGTTGCTGGAAAAGCTCAGCAGGTCTGGCAGCATCTGTGGAGGAGAAAACAGAGTTAACATTTCAGGTCCGGTGACCCGAAGGGTCTGAGTTCTGAGGAAGGGTCACCGGACCCGATGCTGCCAGACCTGCTGAGCTTTTCCAGCAACTTTGTTTTTGTAATCTTCCTTAGTTGGTTGGTTATCTTTCCACTGTCAGTCAATCATCCTTCTCCTCCCAGCCCCATATCAAACCCTTTTACACCGAGAAAAAAGACACATACAATTTTGTTAATTGTTGCTAAGTAGTACAGAATTTGAGTACTGTTGAAAAGTAGATATATTTTGTCAAAAGTTTTCATCTCACATTCATCAGGATAATTTGCAATACATACCGAAGTAAAGAGAAAATAATAGATTGGTACATTGACACAGAAGCCCTTTGGTTGGCAAGTCAACGCTGATTGCAGAGACATCGCCATGGAAAATGTACCAGTTACTGATGATTGGTAGTTCATAGAATCCCATCAATTCTACACTGACCCGCTGAAGAGCATCCCATCCTCAACCCAAACCCCTGCTCTATCCCACAACTGGATAATACACTGGCTAGCCTAGCTAATCCACCTAGCCTGCACACTAGGGGGCAATTTAGCATGGTCAATCCACCTGGCCTGCACATCTTTGGACTGTGGGAGGAAACCCACGCAGATGCAGGGAGAATGTGCAAACCCCACACAGACAGTCACCCAAGGGTGGAATTGAACCTGGTCCCTGGCATGTGCCAACCACTTGTGCCGCCGTGCTGCCTTTTTAACTGTTTACATTTTAAACAGGAGGAGTTGACACTGACTAGTCAAGGTGTTGCCCTAAGAAGAGAACTAGAGAATGGCTGTTATCTATTTTATCACATGTGATGGACTCTCTGTCTGGAAAGAGCAAGGCCGTATGGTCCCATTAGGACTACCATGCAGTAGTAATGTGATTGCTATTTGCTATTAACAGGAATATGCCATGAATCCAAAAACACATTCTGCCTATTGCACAAATGCGTAATGTGGTTTATGCATTTCAGTGCCAGTGTGATACTAGGTATGTTGGCTGGACATCCCAGAGATTGGTGGATGGAATTAAACAACGTCGTCTTTGACTGTTCACAGCAAGCAAGGTGCAAACCAACCTGACGTTACAAAATTCACAAAACATGTCCAATATTAGCTAAGATTCTATAATTGAACAACATTTGCTAAATAATCCTGTGTGTTATGCTGGCCACCAATTTAGGAGGGTCAATTCTGCTTTCAGTGTCGTGGATTTGTGTCTGCTGGAAGCTATATATGTTAATGTACAGAGCCCTGTCCTTTGCAGGTAGAAAGAACAGTGTCAGCCATTCTCTGGTTCACTTATCAGGGCAACACCTTGTCCAATCAGAGTAAACCTACCTGGTTTAAAATATAAACAAAGCTTGGCAGTTAGTTGTCAGTCATCAGTAATTGTGTTTGTCTTGGCAACACCTTTATCAATCAGAGTCCATTTGCCAATGATTAGTACTGTCTTCCCATGCAAATTAATTAATGTTTTCCCTTTACTTTGGTGTTTCTTGCAAATTGTCCTGATGAGTGGATGGCAAAAAGCTTTGACAAAATGTCTTTTTCAGCAGTACACAATTATATTATTTACTGTGTCCAGTGCCCTGGAGTTTTTTTTAAAATTCCTGCATATTCCAAGACAATCATGAGAACTTGGCTATGTATGGTTGAATTATCCTGAGGATTGGATGATGGAATAACAAATGCTGAAAATTTGATATAAAAACTTGAGATGTTCCACAGGCCAGTTAGTGTGTGGGCTGAGAAGGTGGGTTTACACATAAGACCAGAATGATCTGGTCTTTATCATTACAGGTGAGATATTCTGCAGCTTATTTTGCTCCCATTTTAGAAGGGAGATGGGCACGATACAAAGCCCTTTAGGAAGTTTCCAAGAATCTGGCTAATCTGCACAAGACTACTGTGGGAAAAGCCACAGGGAGCCAACCAAAATTGTATTTGTTGTTTTCATTTGTTTTAACCACTTGAGATTGGCATAGGATGGTGGGGAAGGGCTGTTTTGACTGACAGTCAAGATAAATGAAGGGCTCAATTTATTTTCAATTGACTCTACAAACCGAGGAGGCGGAATCAATGGAGCAAGCATGAAGTGAATGGTTTGAGGTGTGAGGTTATGTGATAATAAATCTCCACTACAATCTCGAAACACAGTTGTAAGAGGGGTTTGGGATAGATATGATTACAGTCTGTGGATAGAATGTGCTCCAGTCATCTCACACTTGATGTTACTCTGCCACCTAGTGGCTTCTGTAATTGTCAATTTATTTGGAGTCTATTGTAAAAACTCGAGGAATAGTGCACTTCGTAATTTTAATATAATTTTGTAAAAATTAATTTTCAAATTCTCCCAGTTTATTTACTTTTGAGTAATTTAGAATTCATCACTCCATATATTTTCCTTATACTTGTCAACACTGATTTTCTTTGTTCAGTATCACATATTGCGTAGACTTATTCCTGATTTTCCTTGCTGCTAACTTTATTTACATCAATTATTATTTTTGTCACTGATGTTTCCTGCTGTGTGTGCTTTCTTCACCCTAACCCCTCCATTGCAATATTTCTTTCTTTTTCTTCCTTTCCCAGCTCGTGGGTTATGGAACTGTGCACTGTTGTGAAAATTCTTTAAAGGTAAGGATGAATGGTAGGGAGGTGGGAGTGAAGGGTTACTAGTCAGGAGAAGGTAGAGTGAACAGAGCAAGCAGACAAGGGCTCAGTACCTGGTGAACCTCAGTCTGAAACAGAGCCTTACTGCTGACCAAGTGGTGCTGAACATAGGAACAGGAGGAAGCTATCCAACCCCTCAAACCTGTTCTGACATCACCACTCATTCTGATCAGATCCACTTCGTATTCCAGCTACATTTACACACCTAGGCGTCACATTCTTTGAGATCCTCTACCCAACAAAAATCCATCGAGCTCCGTGGGTTTCAGTTATCACGAGAAGGTTATGTTAAGTGTGAGTGTGCAATGTTGAACATTCATTTATCTGTGAACGAGTTTCCATAAGAAGTACTATTCAGTGTTATTCACATCTTGACAATGTTACCACAGTTCAAATTCAAGTAAGTCTTACCTTCATTGCACCTTCTCCCTCAAAGTGTCAATGAGTTACAAAGACACCGTAACAATGAAAATAACATACAGTCCCTTAGGAAGGAGAAATGTGCTTCTCTCATTCTGAACACTTGCCTGTTTGTGCTTGGAGCTAAACCATTTATTTTTCGTCGAATGGACGATAAATTCCTGATTAGAGAGAATCTTTCTGTGCTTAGTGTCAGGTTTATTTTTTAATCACCTTGTCTCATCAAAGTCTCTGTTCAGCTTCCTAAACAGACTGAGGTAAAATCTTATAAGGTTGGGGGATGGGGCTATCCGAAACCAAAGATGGAATGTGGAATTTTATAAACAAATGCATAGACCATAAAAACAAGGACATTATGCTAAAACTTTTATGAACTTTTGGTTAGGCCCCATCTGATATGTTGTGTTCAGTTCTGTGCCCCATCTTTTAGGAAAGATGGGAAAGCCTTAGAGAGGGTGCAGAGGAAACTTTCTAGAATTGTGTCAGCAACAAAGATTTCATTTATTCAACAAAGTTCTCCTTAAAGCAGCGACGGTTAAAAGGTGATATAATACAGGTGTTTAAAGTTTGAGAGATTAGGTTAGATGAAACTGTTTGCTGTGTCTGGATCATTCATAACCAGAGTTAATGCAGAGTTTAGATAATTAACAAAAGAACCCGTAGGGGGATGAGAGGACATTTTCAGTGAGTGAATTATGATGATCTGGAATACAATGCCTGAAAGGATGGTGAAGGCAGATTGAGTAGTAACGTTTTAAGAGGTATTGGATAAATACTTCAAAAAGGAAAAAAAATGATAAGGCCATCGGGCCTCACCTGTTTGGATGACATTGGAGCAGTGATGGAGGATAGTATGGGGTGTCGAAGGCTACAAACAGTTTCTGAAGGATAAGAAAATGTTTACCTTTGTCGAATAGGATGCTGTTTGTGACTTTAATTGGAGCCAGTGGTTTATGTAAAAAAAATCCGAGAAAAGATAACGATGGCTTTGGGAAGAGAGGGAGGATGACAATGGGGCACTTGAAGGCAGATTTGAAGGACAGAAGGAAAGTACTTGAAGAGCGAAAACCATCAGCTGTGTCACATTGAATTTATTCACTGGGATAGATTTACCCAAAGTTTTCTGATTCTTTTACTCAGTCTCTGAGTAGGATCTTATTTGCTGGTAGTTCAAGTTAGCATCTTAGGCCAGGCTTACCCATGCAGCACTCTTTGTGATCAGGAATGACCACTGATTGGTATATCAGCCTCAAGTATATTTCTGTACCCACCTTGTTTAGTATTGTTTAATATCCTTCCTTAAGAAAAATCAAGCTTAGCCTTGACATGTGCAATTGATGCTCCAGCCATGATAGTGAGGTAACAGAAATGTATTTCTGTATTCTTTGTGTGAAGTGTTTCTGATATATCTCCTAAACACTGCCAGTTATAAGAGGATTTGCCTTGTTCTAGAATTCCCTCTTCTCTCTCTCTCTCTCTCTCTCTCTCTCTCTCTCTCTCTCTCTCTCTCTCTCTCTCTCTCACACACACACACACACACACACACACA